AAAAAAAAAAAAAAAAAAAAATATGAGCATGTGAATGGCGGTGATGCCATCACCGAAAACAAAGAAAAAAAACAATAAAAAAAAAACTAAAAAAAAAAAGAAGGTATATTTGGTGCAGGTTTTACGTAACATCTTCAGTATAAATAGGTGCGTTTGCAGAGCTGAAAATGCACCAAGAAGCGAGAAGAAAAAGAGAGCAAAAAGGAAATTTTCTGGAGTGTTATTTTTCAGTGAGATAAAAATAGAGTGTTTGAGTAAATCCTGTGGGTGTGGGAAAAATACACCGGGTTGGGTATCAACTCTATTATTCCTTGTTTAGGAGTGGAGTTTTCACTGGGTCACTATATTTTACATTTCTAGTGTAAGGGAGTGTGAAAAGATATTGTAATTATCTTGAAAATATAGTGGAATTGTTCGGAGGTTGTCCCGTGGTTTTTTTTTTCTTCTATTTGGAGGGTTTTCCACGTTAAATCTTGGTGTCTTATTTCTTGCATATTTTATTTATTTGGGATATTCTTAGTATGCTCTGTGGTCGCAGTTTAATCTGAACTTCCACATCAGAAAAGAATTATTCCGGTGTTATTGCAAGAGTTTTTCTTTTGTCATTCTTGAGTTGCTGGGATCGTGATTATTGTTCACCATTTTACTTTGATATTTTAATTTACATCTTCCGCATTGCGCATCTGAGTCCAACAAGTGGTATCAGAGCTCAAGTTGGGCTCTGTATCGGCCAGTGTAAATTAAATGGAGGAGAACGTGGGTACCATGGTGAAGCTCACAGCAACAAATTACTCCATTTGGAAGCCAAAAATGGAGGACATACTTTTCTACAAAGATCTGTATGATCCTGTAGAAAAGGGAGACAACAAGCCAGATGACGTGAAGGATGACGATTGGAAAAAGTTACACAGGAAGGCTGTCAGTTTAATCCGACAGTGGGTGGATATCAGCATATTCCACCATGTTGCCACAGAATCGAAAGCCCATACTCTGTGGAACAAAATTGAACACATGTACCAGAGGAAGACTGCACAGAATAAAGCTTTCGTCATTAGAAAGCTTGTAAATCTAAAATATCGGGATGGAAGATCAGTTGCTGAACACTTGAATGAGTTTCAAGACATGGTAAACCAACTTGTTACCATGGAAATGAAACTTGATGAAGAGCTGCAGGCGCTGTTACTTTTGAGTTCTTTACCGGATAGCTGGGAGACTCTGGTGGTCTCATTGAGCAACTCTGCTCCGGAGGGAAAACTGACTTTGACCCAAGTCAAAGACAGTATGTTCAATGAAGAAACAAGAAGAAAAGACTCTGGGGCAAGCAGTTCTCAAGCCCTGGTCACAGAAACCAGGGGGAGAAGTAAAAGCAGAGGCCGGAATAGCAAAACCAGAGATAAATCACAATCTCAACCCAGGAGAAAATTCAAGTGTTATCACTGCGGTGAAGAAGGGCATATCAAAAGAAACTGCAAAGCCTGGAAGAACAGAGGTTGGAGAAACAACAAGGCAGAGAACGATGAAAATACCGCAACCCCTGTGATTAACGGGGAAGTGGTGTTGCTCTCTGTTGAAGAAGAAGAGTGTCATGTTGCTGATTCATGTGTTGAATGGGTCATTGACTCAGCAGCATCATACCATGCAACCTCTCACAAGGAATTCTTTTCTCTATACAAAGAAGGAGACTTTGGTAGAGTAAAGATGGGCAACAACAGCATTGCAAATATTGTGGGAGTTGGTGACGTGTGCATTCAAACTGATATTGGGTGCACAATAACACTGAAGGACGTACGACATATACCAGACTTACGTCTGAATCTGATCTCTGTGCATGCATTGGATCTAGCAGGCTATACTAACAATTTTGGTAACGGCACGTGGAGGCTTACCAAAGGATCATTGTTAGCTGCTAGAGGTACAGTGAGATCGACACTGTACAGAACTCAAGTGAAGCTGATCAAGGGTGGATTGAATGCAGTCGAAGATGATGCTTCGCCAAATTTGTGGCACAAAAGACTGGCTCACATTGGTGAAAAAGGATTGCAAATTTTGGCAAGAAAGTCCCTCATTCCATTTGCCAATGATTCAAAACTCAATCCTTGTGATTATTGTCTCTTTGGGAAGCATCATAGGGTGTCTTTCAGCAAAACCTCGAAGCTGAAAGAAAATGTGTTGGAGATGGTGTATTCTGATGCATGTGGACCCATGGAAGTGGAGAGTCTCGGTGGTAGAAGATATTTCGTGACGTTTATTGATGACGCCTCACGAAAATTGTGGGTGTATTTCTTGAGAACGAAGGGTGAAGTGTTTCAGTATTTCAAAAGGTTTCATGCTATGGTGGAGAGACAGACTGGTAAACCTTTGAAGTGTCTTCGCTCAGATAATGGGGGGAGTATACTTCCCATGAATTCAAGAATTATTGTGTCGAGCATGGCATCAGGCATGAGAAGACTGTACCTGGAACCCCACAACATAATGGTGTGGCTGAAAGAATCAACAGAACCATTATGGAGAAAGTGAGGTGTATGTTAAGAATGGCTAAGCTACCTAAGCCATTCTGGGGTGAAGCCGTTCTAACGGCATGCTACCTGATCAACCGATCTCCATCTGTTCCTTTGGGCTTTGATATCCCTGAGAGAGTATGGTCCGGACATGATGTTAAATACTCTCATCTAAAGGTGTTTGGATGCAAAGCTTTTGCTCACGTTAGCAAGGAACAGAGACGAAAACTTGACGATAAAGCCATTCCTTGTATATTTCTGGGCTATGGAGATGAGGAATTTGGCTACAGATTATGGGATCCAGAAAATCGAAAAATTATCAGAAGCAGAGATGTAGTGTTCCATGAGCAAGAAACTATGTCTGATTCTGCTTCACCAGAAATCAGAGAACCAAGTGGAAAGGTGGATCTTTCACCTGTCAAACCTCCTGGAGATGCCACAGCAGGGGGAGAGTGTGATGGAGAACTCAGGGTTGATGATGAGCCAGCAATAGAAGATGGTGATGGTGAAGGTGTCGAGCAAGAAGACCTCGAAGCTCCGCCTCAGCTCAGGAGATCAAATCGAGCGATCCAACCATCTACGAGATACCCTAGTTCCACGTATATAACTATTACTGAAGAAGGGGAGCCAGAAAGCTTTGGAGAAGTACTGACTCATAAAGATTAATTCCAGTGGATGAAAGCCATGCAAGAAGAAATGGATTCACTGATGAAAAATGAAACTTATGAGCTTGTGAAGCTTCCGGAAGGCAGAAAAGCCTTGAAAAACAAATGGGTGTTCAAGCTTAAGAAAGATGGGGACAAGCTGTTGAAGTACAAGGCTCGCTTAGTCGTGAAAGGATTTGGACAAACGCGAGGAATAGATTTTGATGAGATATTCTCACCGGTTGTAAAGATGAGCTCTATTCGAGTAGTACTCGGATTGGTGGCTAGCTTGGATCTGGAGCTTGAACAACTAGATGTGAAGACTGCATTTCTTCATGGAGACCTAGATGAAGAAATCTACATGGAGCAACCAGAAGGATTTGAGAAGACTGGAAAGGAGCACATGGTCTGCAGATTGAAGAAGAGCTTGTATGGACTGAAACAAGCTCCAAGACAATGGTACAAGAAATTTGACTCGTTCATGGCGAGTCATGGATATACCAAGACTGATGCAGATCATTGTGTGTTCGTTAAAAAATTTCCAGGTGATAAATTCATTATCCTTTTGTTATATGTAGATGATATGTTGATAGTGGGACAAGATATGAAGCTGATTGGTGATTTGAAGAAGGAATTAGCAAAGTCCTTTGAGATGAAGGACTTGGGCCCTGCGAAACAAATTTTGGGCATGCAGATCATGCGAGACCGGAAATCTAAGAGGTTATGGTTATCGCAAGAACGATATGTGAATCGGATTCTGGAGAGATTCAACATGAAATCGGCTAAGCCGGTTAATACACCGTTAGCCAATCACTTGAAGCTCAGCAAACGAAGTTGTCCTACGAGTCAAGAAGAAAAAGAAGCTATGGCGGGTGTTCCATACTCCTCTGCAGTTGGGAGTTTGATGTATGCCATGGTTTGTACTAGACCAGATATCGCTCACGCGGTTGGAATTGTTAGCAGGTATCTTTCCAATCCTGGGAAGGATCATTGGGAAGCTGTGAAGTGGATCTTGAGGTACCTAAAAGGCAGTGCAAATAAGTCCTTGAGCTTCAGAAAAGGAAACCCAGTTCTTGAAGGTTATACAGATGCGGATATGGCAGGTGACCTGGATAGTAGAAAATCTACTTCAGGGTTTGTGTTTACATTTGCAGGAGGAGCTGTATCTTGGCAATCTAAATTGCAGAAATCTGTTGCCTTGTCAACTACTGAAGCAGAGTATATTGCAATGACAGAAGCAGGCAAAGAAATGCTTTGGTTGAAGAGGTTTCTTCAGCAATTGGGAATGAAGCAGGAAAGGTACGATATCCATTGTGATAGTCAGAGCGCATTGGATTTGAGTAAGAATGCGATGTACCACTCTCGCACGAAGCACATTGATGTCAGATATCATTGGCTACGTCAAGTAGTGGAAGAACAACAGTTCAAGTTGGAAAAGATTCACACTGATGATAATCCTGCTGACATGATGACGAAAGTTGTAACAGGAGGAAAACTTCAGCTTTGTGCCGAGTTGATTGGCATGGAATGTATGTGAGATTGGCAGAATATTACTCTTTGGCTGGAGGGGGAGAATTGTGAGTTCCAGCACAAACAAACAAAATAATAAAAAAAAAAAATGAGCATGTGAATGGCGGTGATGCCATCACCGAAAACAAAGAAAAAAAACAATAAAAAAAAAAAACTAAAAAAAAAAAGAAGGTATATTTGGTGCAGGTTTTACGTAACATCTTCAGTATAAATAGGTGCATTTGCAGAGCTGAAAATGCACCAAGAAGCGAGAAGAAAAAGAGAGCAAAAAGGAAATTTTCTGGAGTGTTATTTTTCAGTGAGATAAAAATAGAGTGTTTTAGTAAATCCTGTGGGTGTGGAAAAAATACACCGGGTTGGGTATCAACTCTATTATTCCTTGTTTAGGAGTGGAGTTTTCACTGGGTCACTATATTTTACATTTCTAGTGTAAGGGTGTGTGAAAAGATATTGTAATTATCTTGAAAATATAGTGGAATTGTTCGGAGGTTGTCCCGTGGTTTTTTTTTTTCTTCTATTTGGAGGGTTTTTCACGTTAAATCTTGGTGTCTTATTTCTTGCATATTTTATTTATTTGGGATATTCTTAGTATGCTCTGTGGTCGCAGTTTAATCTGAACTTCCACATCAGAAAAGAATTATTCCGGTGTTATTGCAAGAGTTTTTCTTTTGTCATTCTTGAGTTGCTGGGATCGTGATTATTGTTCACCATTTTACTTTGATATTTTAATTTACATCTTCCGCATTGCGCATCTGAGTCCAACAAAAAGGAGGTTTTTGTTCGAGTTCGCCTTGATTAATTAGCAAACATTATTCAAATTCGAACGAACTTTTGTTCACGAACATTGCATCGTCTATAGCTCCACTTTCACGCACAAATTCATAAACCTTCAAAATAATGGTCAGTATCTTGTGAGTATGGCCAATCATATGGCTCATAACTACTCCAAAAAAAAAAAAAAAAAGCTCTCATCACACCTCAAAGCCTTTACAAGAAAACTTCAAACACCAAAATGAGACCTGTAAAAACAACTTCTCTCACCAATAATCTCCACAAGAACACACACCATCCTCAAAATGATGAAAACAATTCTGAATCCCGCATAATCACACGTCGATTATAGACCCTCGACACAATTTTCATCACGTTATGACAGTCCCCACAAACCCTCATATTCTTATATATTCTCACAGGTGCCCCAGCCGGAAGCTTGAGCAGCCCGAAAGCCACGGCCAGGTTCTCACTATGATAAACCAGCCCGAAACCTTGTTCTCTTCATTTACATCATGCAGAGCGAATTTCAAATCCGGAACATACCCAAACTCCTTGATCAAAACCATTACCTCATCGATTTTCCTATAAATCTCATCCGATTCCAAATGGCTCCATTCCTCGGACAAAAAGTTGTGAACTTTACCGTGATCTCAATCCAGCTAAAACCGGGTTCCTTCTCTACGCCCCTCGATTTCATCGACTTTCTAATACGAGCTGCTTCGTGCCATTTTCCATTTTGGGAGTAAATATTCGAAAGCATTACGTAAGGGAACGAGCCTCGAGGCTCTAACTCAATTAATGCTTTAGCAGCTTTTTCGGCAAGATCGATATTCCCGTGCACCCTGCATGCAGATAGTAACGATTTCCACAAGGTTGCGTCCGGTTTAACCGTCATTTCATTTAGTAATTTTTTCGCCTCGTTTATTTTTCCCGATCGGGCCAAAAGATCAATCATGCATGCGTAATGGTTGGGCCCTGGGCTAATCCCGTGGTCCTTCACCATGGAGTTAAAATAGTGGCGGCCCTGTTCCGTTAGGCCCGCGTGGCTGCAGGCAAATAGCAAACCTATGAAGGTTATCGAGTCGGGCTTTAAGCCCGATTTGATCATTCGGTCGTAAAATTCAAGGGATTTTGTTCCTTTTCCGTTTTTCGCATAGCCCACGATTAATGCAGTCCAAGATACTACATTTCGAGTTCCCATCGAGTCAAATATTTTCTCCGCACTCTCCAAGTAACCGCAGTGCACGAACAGCGACACGAGCGAACGACGAGTCAATCCCGGATTTTATCGAATCCGAGTGAAGCTGCTGACCTAAATCGAGCAGCTCCACCTCAGCGCACGAGCTCAGGACGCTCGAGAGGATTACTCGGTCCAGGTGGGTCCCACTAACTCTCATCCTACAGAATAACTTGAGGGCTTCCTCGTGGAGCCCACAATAGGCACAGCCCGTGACAAGGGACGTCCAAGAAATCACATCTTTATCCACCAAGCAATCAAACAACTTAAACGCAACATCTAAATGATTCTCCTGCTTGGCGTACATGTCGATTAGAGCATTGCAGACGAGCGTGTAAGGCTCGAATCCGGACTTAATAACCAACGAGTGGATACTTTTACTGGCCGTCACATTTTTTACCAAAGCAAACGAGTTCAGTACAGAGGGATATGTGAACTCGTCTGGTTTCATGCCTTTCACATGCATGGAATTAAATAAAGACAGAGCTTTCTCTGGAGAACCGAGTCTAACACAACCGAGAATCAAAGCATTCCATGAAATCAAATCATCGATTTCCATGGAGTCGACTATTTTTACGGCCCCACTCAAGTCCCCGCATTTCGTGTACATATCGACCAGCGCACTTTGAACAAAAACATTCGCAACAAACCCACCGCGAAAAATACAGCCGTGAACTTGCGTCCCGAATCCAAGATCCGAGCAGGCCCCACAAGCCGCTAATACTCCGGGGAAAGTGTACTGATTAGCCTCAACCCCATTTTCTCTCATGCCCACAAAACACTCCGTTGTTTTAATCGTGTCGCCGTTTATGGAATACCCGTTGAGCATTGCAGTCCAAGTGACATGATTTTTCCCCTCATTCATTCTTTCGAACAAATACTCTGCCTCGTCTATACACCGACATTTGGCGTAAACATCTATAAGGCTGGTGACTACTGACTACAATAACATCAGTATCCATACGGGCCTTGACCGAAAAACCGTGAATCTGCTCGCCTCTCGAGAGGAGTCCTTTTATAGAACATAGCCTGAGCACACTTCCTAAAGTGAAACCGTTGGGCCGGTACCCCTCGTGCTGCATCTGGTACAACAGCTGGAAGCTTTCCGCCTCGCACCCCATTTTGCAGTACCCGGACACAAGGGACGACCAGGCGATCGAGCTCCT